CTCATAAATTGTTTAAAATATTTATGACTGCTTAAAGCAAAATGTATGACAGTGTAGTGGAGTTTTCAATGTACGTAAATAAAATATATATGATTAACTCTAACATAAAGTTCAAGTTGGTGGACCAGCCATAGTGGCTCAGTTGATTGAGTGTCGTCCTGTGCACCAAAAGGTTACTAGTTCAATTCCCAGTCAAGGCACTTACCTACCTACATTGTGGGTTTAGTTCCCGGTTGGAGCGCACATGGAAGGCAACCAAATGATGTTTCTCTCTCTCTCCCTTCCTCCCTCCAAGTACGTCCCTGGGTAAGAATAAATAAATAAAATTCTTTCAAAAAAAGTTCAGGTTGGTGGTAAGGGAAATATATTTGCAAGGTTTTTACATTTATAAGTGGCTTAATATTTGCTATAAGTAGACTGTGAAAAATTATATATATGTATGTGTGTGTGTATATATACACACAGTATTTACACATACACACACATATATGTATACATATGTGTGTGTGTGTGTGTGTGTGCGCGCGCGCGTGTATATATATGTGTGGTTGACAGAATTAGACCAATGGCTAAAAAAATTATACAAAGAGATGTCCCCCAAAAGTCAACACTAACAATACTCAAATATGAAAGAAGACTGGAAAAGGAAAACAGAGGAACAAATAAGAAACAAATAATAAAAAAATAAAAAAGAGAGCTAGACCCAAACGTATGAATAATCACATTAAACGTTAATAGCCTAAATATTCAGTGCTAGTCACAATTCTAAAGATATCCCCCTACGATGCCTATCCCTGGTTAGTCAATCAAACTAATTTAGGTTCTGTGTGAAGGGACTTTGCACATGAAATCGATGTTAGGTAGAGAGATTACCCTGGTGGGCCCAATGTAATCACATCATCCTTAAAAGCAGAAGAGTCACGCCCTGACTGGTTTGGCTCAGTGGCTAGAGCATCGGCCTGCGGACTGAAGGGTCCCGGGTTCGATTCCAGTCAAGGGCATGTACCTCGGTTGCGGGCACATCCTCAGTGGGGGGTGTGCAGGAGGCAGCTGATCGATGTTTCTAACTCTCTATCCCTCTCCCTTCCTCGCTGTGAAAAAATCAATAAAATATATATTTTTTAAAAAAGCAGAAGAGTCAGAGAGATGAGGCAGAAGAGGAGGTAAGAGAGATCCAAAGAATAATAATTAGTAGTAGTAGTAGTAATAATAATAATAATAATTTAAAAATCCAGCTAATGTTGCTGTCTTTGAAGATGGTTCCCAGGAATGTGGGTAGGCTCTAGACGAGAACCATCCCTGGGGATCAGCCAGCAAAAAAGCAGGGACAACAAGGAAACTTAGGTCCCACACGACATGGAACTGGATTCTGCCAACAACCTGAACGAGCCTGGAAACGGATTCTCCCCTAGAGCCTCCAGAGAGAAATGCGGCCCTGATGACACCTTGATTTCGGCCTGTGAGACTCTGAAGGAGAGAAGCAGGTTGGCCCGGGCTCCTGGCCCATGGGAACTGTGGAATAATAAACGGATATTGTTTTAAGTTGGAGTAATTGTTATCGGCAACAGAAAACTAACACACATTCCAATTAAAAGAATTGGAATTGACAGAATGGATACAAAGGAAAGATCCTATTTATATGCTCTTGGCAAAAGAAACACTTTATAAAAACCAGGTAGGTTGAAAGTAAATGAAAAGAAAAAAGATATACTATGGAAACATAAGTATAAGTAGTGACTATTTTTATCTCAGACAAAATAGACTTCAAGGCCCAGAGTCCTATGAGAGTTAGAGAGAGACATCTCATAATAATAAAAGGGACATGTATCAGGAAGACAATACAATTTAAGTGTGCATGTAACTAAAAAGAGATTAAAATACATGAAGCAAAAATAAACAGATATGAGAAAAATAGACAATTCCACAATCATCCTAAAGATTTTGAGAGCACTCTTTCAGTAACTGATAGAAGTGAACAACAAAAAAATCATAAGGACATAGGATATCTGAACAACACTATCAACCACCTTAGATTAATTCCACATTTATAGAACATTATATCCAACAACTAAGAAATACACATATTTTCAAGGGAACAAGTTTAATTTACCAATATAGACCATATGCTGGGCTATAAAACACATCTCAATGACTCTAAAAGGATCAAATTCATACAAAGTATATTCCCTAACCACATGGAATTAAATTAGAAATTGATAATAACAAAATATCTAGGGAAAACCCAAATATCTAACCATTAAACAAACATTTCTAAGTAATTCATGAGTTAAAAAAGAAATTAAGTGGGAAATAAAAAAATGTTTGGACTGAATGATAATGTAACTACAACGTATCAAAATTTGTGGGATAAAGCTAAAACCATGCTTACAGGGGGAAAAAAAACATGTAGTTGTGTGTATAAGTACATAATATGTATAAGTGTGTGTGTGGGCGGGGAAGGGGGGATTATGCAACACTTTACTTACAAAAATCTATCTTACAGATTTTTCCAAAAAGTACAAATAGACTTTTATAAAGGTGAAAATTTTGTGTTATATACAAAAATGAAACATAGTTCAACATAGTCTTAATAATAAAGTAAGTGCAGGGCAAGTCACAGCGCCTACCAGAAAGTCTTGCTTTCATCTTCTAGTGTTTCTCTTTCCTTCAGATTTCTTTTTTTTTAAAATATATTTTATTGATTTTTTACAGAGAGGAAGGGAGAGGGATAGAGAGTTAGAAACATCGGTGAGAGAGAAACATCAATCAGCTGCCTCCTGCACACCTCCTACTGGGGATATGCCCGCAACCAAGGTCCATCATGCCCTTGACTGGAATTGAACCTGGGACCTTTCAGTCTGCAGGCCGACGCTCTATCCACTGAGCCAAACCGGTTAGAGCCCTTCAGATTTCTATACATAAGCTCATGTTATTTTGTTGTTAATTTGTGATTTTTGTTACACCTACTTTCCCCTTTATTGTAGTTTAAATACAACTGGAAATTAAGCAAGTAAATTGAGACTAAAAATGCAGAACCAATTTAAATGTATAAAACAATTAGTTCAGCCCGGCCGGCATGGCTCAGTGGATGAGCACCAACCCCTGAACCAAGAGGTAAACGGTGCAATTTCTAGTCAAGGCACATGCTCTGGTTGAAGGCTCCAAACCAAGTAGGGGGCGTGCAGGAAGCAACCGATAGGTGTTTCTCTCTCCCATCAATGTTTTTATCTCTCTAACCCTCTCCCTTCCTCTCTCTCTAAAATCAATAAAAACATATTTAAAAAAAAGTTCAAAACAAAAATAAAAACCTTTTCTTACATTGGCTGAAACTAGATTTGGTTATGTCAACCCTGAAAAGTGCTTTTGAACCATAGTGCACTCTCAGAGAGCAAATGAAAAATTCTGCACCTTTAAAATGCACATTAAAATTAACTTTAGAAGTATAAAAGGAATTTATTGAGACTCTATAGTTACCAGATGTTAAATCTGTGACAGTGATTCATCTTCATACAACCGGAATTTGTTTAGTTTTAATAATGTTGCTACAGAAATTGTCAGCAAGAGATAAGGCAAAGTAACAACAATCAATAAACCTTTTTCTCAGTCTCACTGGGTAACTGCCTCTGTAATTTATCCTCAACAATGTTATTCCCCTTGTTTAGAGAGCTCTACAAAATTATTTAAGGAATAACATAGTTAAGGAGAAACGAGTATTCACATTGATAAAGAAGCAACATACAGTTTCTCTATTAAATTAAATGGAAATGCTTAAACAATGAGGCTGGAGAATTTCATTCTAAAACAAAAGTTTCCAAGTATCAAGTAAAGGTGAGAAATCTGAAAAAGTAAAAGTGAAGTACAGTGATACATATCCAAAGTTTGTAGCGAGTTATGGTTGGCTCAGGGGATTTAAAAATTTGATGGTTTTCTCAATGTGAAAATGAGCGATATGACTCATATGTTTTCATATAAAAGTAGCAGAAACATAAATAGTCTTAAGAGCTAAGAGAAATTATAGAAAAAGATGACCGTCGTAATAACAAATCTCTAACATAAAGTGGATCATCTTGGGGAAAAGTGTCAGACAATACATTTTAAAAGAATAAAAACAGTTTCAGAGTTTTACACTTTGAAAGATAGATTATAATTTTGGTGCTAATGCAGCGAAATACTATAAGCTACAACAAAACCTGTAGTTATATAAAAGCCATAACTAGGCTACACACACACACACACACACACACACACGTTTAATCATAAAACATTGATTACTGTAAGCTGCGAAATGTTAATATAAACATACTAGAGGCCTGGTGCATGAAATTAGTGCGGGGGGCGGGGGGCAGGCCTGTGCTCTCTCACAATCTGACACCCCTCGGGGGTTGCCAGGCTTAAACCAGCAGTCAGACATCCCTCTCGCAATCTGGGACATTGCATGCACCAGTGACCATACTTTTCATACAGGTGAAAGGCATCCTGCTGTTGTATGGGCAGCTACATTTTTCCCCCTGATTATAAAAAGTAGTGCATAACTTGATCCTTCTGAGGCAGTAGTACCATTTTCCCCATCTTATGGGTGGAAAAACTGAAGCAGAGAGAAGTTAAGTCATTGGCTTTGTCACACAGTTATAAGTGTCAGAATCAGGACTGACCACAAAATGTGCAAGCCAGAGTCCATGCATGTCATCGCTGCATCATCCTGTTTTTTCATTGTTAGAGTAGCCTTGCCAGGTTTTAATTTTTAGATCTAAGAGACTGTTCCCAACATATAGGGTAGGGTCCCTAGGCCTGGACAGCGATCAGGGCCATCTGTGGGGCAACTGGCAAGCAGGGTGATTGGGGGGTGGGGAGGCCCCCGCTGGCACCCTCCGGCCGGCCCTGCCCCCCGATCACCACTGCCAGTCACTTCCTTCTGCGGTGGGGGGAAGGGGGGCAGTGTGCATCATAGCCACTGGTGTTCTGCTGTTCTGTTGATTTGCATATTAGGGTTTTATTATATAGGATATGTCATAGAGGTACTAAGTTCAATGAATCAATATATACAATTTAACAAGCAAAATTTTATAGATCTCACCAATAAACCTTCCCAATCCTTAAGAGCAAACTCTCCCTAAGAAACTTGAACAGGAAATATGAGAGAAACCGGAGCTCCACACAACCTACAGAGTAGTTCTGTACCTGATGCAGTGTAACACTGGAGGCATGCAAGTCAATAGCGGCCAGAGAAGGAATTTGAGATTCTGAAAGGTTTTTGTTCTCTTTCCTCATTAGCCTGGAATTTCGAGCTGCACAAAAATAACCACAAGCACAGTGGAAAAAATAGACATTTTTATTAGTTTTTCACATTCTGTATCTGTCCCTTTGTATGTATTACTTATTGTACATAAGTCTGAACATATTTTCATATATAAAAATGTAAAATTACTATGTTTTTTATATTCTGTTCATTTAACATACATTTATGAGTTTTTGATATTCTGTTCATTTAACATACATGTATGAGTTTTTGATATTGTGTTCACCTAACATACATTTTAAACAATGCAAACAAAAGGGCTGACAAGATAAAAGCATTGTAAACATACCTACGCCTTCCAAGGCTCTCAGTTCAGGGAGATGATTATAGTTTAATTCAGGCAAATGCACATCTGTCTTTGCGAATTCTCTTCTTTTCTTATTTGCCTGAAGGAGGCTCTTTTCACTAGTGATCTAATGTCATCAGAATGATTAACACAAATGAATTAGCTTCCAGGTAAACTGGGCTTGCCCCTTGTCTAACTACTATAGTCATAGCCTAAAATGTATGGATTTGAAGATCTGGAATAATACAATATTTGAAAAACATAAGTAACACACAAAAAACAATTTCACCTAGTTATTTCAAACCTCTACCTCAGTAAATGTATGACAATTGCTAACAAGTGGATCACTGGTTGGTATGAGTTTCTCCTTCTCCCTCTCTCAGCCTTCAGGTAAGTCCTGGCAATCAGTAGAAGGTTAGCAGAGGGGCATCAGGCCTTAGGACACTTGCTGAGCTTTTCAGCATATAGTTGCTTCATTCTGAGCAGTTCATCTGGCCAGGTTTATCACATGTCCTAGGTTGTTTTTTGCTTTCCCAACATAATCTTGGTGCTCATTTTAAAAACATTTGTCCTTGTCCTGCTCCTCAGAGTTAGCATATGATACTATCTCCTAGTTACACAGTTTATTAAGTAAAGAATTACAACTTCAATTATTTTCCAAATCTTAGTATTATTCCTTCTTAGTGGATAAAGTCTGAGAAAATAATAAAGTGAAGAATAGTAGGAGCACTTCAACTCTGTGCCTTTATGGATTTGACATTTTTCCGTTTCATTTGAGAATGACAGAAAGTCTGTATTCTTTTTTACATTTTCAGAACAGGTAATATATAGAGTGTGTGATTTTCTTTAAAAAAAAAAAACACAACTATCTATAATGAAGTCATATATGTGTTTTTACATATGTTTGTATGTATAATGAAATATATACACACAAACACATATAATGACAGTGTCAAGCTTGTCATTGAGGTTCCTTGATGTCTCAAATTTAATATTCTCTGAATTATGCCACTCTGCCTCCCACAAAGTCTTCACAAGTCCCAGAGTGAGACTTTGAGTTTCTTTCTTTTGGCCGTTTCTGTTTGTTCTTTTAATAGAATAAGTGCTAACGCTCTTGGCTCAAGTCAGCTACAAAATAAAATAATTAGTTCAAAAAAATTATCTGCAAATGCAAACATAAATAAATAAATAAACAATTCCAAACTACCAGATTTACATATTCAAACAGTGGCAAGTAAAATACGTAAGAGATATTTATAACAATATATTTATTATTGATCTTCAACCTAGAAGTTGAAGAAAGTTGAGGCTTAGCTCTGCTTCCATTAATTTGCCAGTGGATCTTCCCCCAACTAATCTTGACCTTCTTTTTTAATTGCCTGTCCCAAAGAAATATAAACAGAAATAAGATCTAAAATTACTAGCCAGTGATGGTTATGCAATGCCTGAAAGAAGCCTGATATCAATTCCAGAAAAATGGTATTGAGCCAGCTATTTGGAAAAGCCTAGCTGAGCAAAAGAATCTTCAAAGCAGACTTGGAATGTAAAACACAAAATATCCACAGAGAAATCAAAAGGTAGGCTATGTCAAAAGGAAAGCACGATGGGTACAGATATTGCAGTCTAAGAAAAACTTAAAAACAAGCAAACATAATGTCTGGATCATGAGAGATGAACAAGAAAGGCTATACTTTTCAGCACTGAGGATAATGAAAGAAAATAGAGAAGGAAAATTTGTGAGAAAAATATTTTTTGGGAATATGTCCATACCTCCCTTTCCCTGGCAGAATTCATTTGCATTTCTTAAGCAGTTTCAATCTGCTAGACACTGTTCTAGGTGTGAGAACAGGGAGGAAACAAAGCACAAATCCCTGCCTTGGAAGCTTACATCTTAGTGAGGGAGACAGACAATATATAAAAGAATGTAGAGGACGTCAAATATATAATGGAAAAAAACTAAGCAAGGTGAGAGGATAGAAAGTAATGGGAGGCAAAATGAGTTATCATATTAGGGAAGACCTCATAATAAGGCAGTGATGGCGAACCTATGACACGCGTATCAGAGGTGACAGGCGAACTCATTTTTTGGTTGAGTTTTCTTTGTTAAATGGTATTTAAATATATAAAATAAATATCAAAAATATAAATCTTTGTTTTACTATGGTTGCAAATATCAAAAAATTTCTATATGTGACACGGCACCAGAGTTAAGTTAGGGTTTTTCAAAATGCTGACACGCCGAGCTCAAAAGGTTCGCCATCACTGTAATAAGGTTTAATTTAAGCCAAGAAAGAGAAAAAGCAAGTTTTTTGGATTATCTGGAGACTGTTCCAAAGCAGAGGAAGAAGCAAGTGCAAAAGCCTAAATGTTGGAGCATGTCTGACCATGTTGCAGGAATAACAAGGAAATCAGTGTGGTTGGAATAGATTGATCAAGAATGAGAGTAGCTGTGAATGGGACAGAGGGATGGGGACTTAAAGACTCTGCAAGGACTCGGGTCTTTACTCAGAAATGAAAAGCCAAGGGAGGGTTTTGAGTGTAAGAGTGATGATGATTTAACTTTAAAAAGAAGCTATCTTGAAGCATTAAAATGTTCCTCTGAAGCTTCAGAAGACATGTGAACCTTGTACATGCTTCTGTTACAATCTATGCTTTAACTTGCTGATCCTCTACTAAACCAAGGGTTCCTTGAAGAGAAAGATTGACTCATTCATCTCCAGTGTTTTATACATAACTAGAGGCCTAGTGCACGAATTAGTGCACAGGTGGGGTCCCTCTGGCCCAGCCCCAATTGGGGTGGATCAGGGCCAGGCCTATTGGGAGGAGGAGATGGCAGGAGGTTGGCAGGCTGGCCTGACCCGATTGGGGCCTGATCAGGGCTAAGCCAGCTTGGGGGAGGGGCTGTGGGCGATTGGCCAGTGGCCCCACCTCTGATTGGGGTGGGGGGGCCTACTGGGGGCAAGGCCAGCCGTGGGAAGAGGCTGTGGGTGGTGGCCTGGCTGACCTGCCCCCAAATGCGGTGGGGGGCTGATCAGGGGTCAGCGACCGGGGGAGGGGTTGTGAGAGGTTGGCCAGCCAGCCCCACCTCTGATTGGGGGGGCGACTGGGAGGCAGATCTGGCTGGGGAGAGGGGCTGCAGGTGGTTGGCCAGCTGGCCCTGCCCCTGATCGGGGTGGAGAGGGCTGATCTGGGGTGGGGCCATGTTGGGGGAGGGGCTGCAGGAGGTTGGCAGCCGGCCCCACCCCCTATTGGGGTAGGGGGGGTGATCACGGGTGGAGCCAGCTCGGGGGAAGGGGCTGTGGGAGGTTGGCCAGCCAGCCCCACTCCCCCATCAGGCCGGTTCACTGGCCGCAGTGGGCATCATAGTTCCAGTTGTTACGGCATTCCGGTCACTGGCTTTTTATATATAGAGATAGGTAATCAATAAATATTGGTTAAATGAAGAAACAGAATACTTTTACCAAAAACCTAGTGTGGGTGAGATAAGACCATTTATCTTCTTTACTCTAAAAAAAACTGATCACCATCACCAAGCATTAGGTTAAGAAAATTTACTGTTGCCTAAAGAATTAAAACTGATGTCATTTTAATAAAATCTTACATTTTAAGTTCCAGATTGATATTATTTTCTAAAACTTACTTAAACTTTAAGTCTTTCACATTTATGATTATGGCAGGCTGGGAAGATATATGCATAATTAAGCTTCCATTTTATGATTTGTCCCCAAATAAAAATCTCAGTTCTTCACCATTATATTTAATATTAACAAAAGTCTAGAAATTACTTAGCTTGTTCTTCTACCACTGAGAACAGATCACTTACTGGTTTGGTCATATTAATATTATAAATGCCTGGTGGAGTCTGTTGGTTTGGTTTAACAAATGGAATACAATACTTCTTGGTCTTCTCATCCACTCTGTAACAACAAGGACAAAAATATTAAGTTAGAACCAACAGTAATTATTTTTCAAGCACAAAACCAAATTACATAGCACCAAGTGACATGCAGTTTAATCAGCATTTAATGCCTATTCTTAAAAACACTACGTGCACAGATCCGGTAAAATATTCTGTCCTACACTCATGCCTCCTACCCAGTCCCCAACTCCAACCAAATTACCTTCCTTTAAGCAAAATTCCCAAAAGGAGCTTCTTTGTATCACTAAATGCCTGTAGCCATACAATGCAGAAACAGACCTTGAAAATCAATTATCTCTTTTGTTATGACAACCTCGTGTCGGCCTGCGGACTGAAAGGTCCCAGGTTCGATTCCGGTCGAGGGCATGTACCTGGGTTGTGGGCACATCCCCAGAAGGAGATGTGCAGGAGGCAGCTGATCAATGTTTCTCTCTCATCGATGTTTCTAACTATCTCTCTCCCTTCCTCTCTGTGAAAAATCAATAAATATATATTTTTAAAAAAAAACAAAAACAGCAACCTGACAAGAATGAACAATATCCAAAAGCCTGAGAGTAAAACAATGGGGCTGAATTGACAATGACTTACAAATTTGCAAATATATCCTTAAACAACCTTTGTTCTTATTTTCTTAATTCATACCTGTAACTCTGAACTCCTGGGATAGTCCCCATTCCAGAATTAATACCAGGGGCTAGTGCAGAAAGATTGTGTGTAAGTGGAGGAATAGCCATGCCTGGATTCCTTGTGTGGTCCACACTGCCATTGCTGCAATCTCTGAGGCTTGTTGAAGGCACTGCTTTGATGTGGCTAGACCCGTTGTCATGGAGACAGCTGACATTTGAAGCTCGACTGGTTTTTTCAACTTTTTCTCCATCAATTTTTGACCCTTTTATCTTTAATACTCTAGAATCCTTAATTTTGGGATCAGCATTAGAATCCTGAGGAATAATAAAAATGTTAATAACATTAATGATATGAGAATAATGAAAAATCACCTCTACCTATAAAGTACTTGTCAACTAAACCAGAATTCCACAGACATCACCTTTTTGTGGCCCTGTATTTTTTTATCTACCTATGGAATTAAAATTAAACCCAAGATTCTTGGTCAGACATTTATTTTGAATAGAAATGCAATTTAGGCTAGCTCTGATGTATACAGGGTGGGGGAAAAGTAGGTTTATAATTGTTCATATGGAAAATAATACAGTAATTAATAAATAATCATACAAGAATAAACTCTGTTTAGCGTACTCACACCTGTAAACCTATGTTTGCCATGCCCTGCACACCTCAGATTTACATGAAACATATATCTAATTTATAAATATTTCAGTGGGAATAAATGTGGAAGAGAAATCAAGCATGCCCACCTTTGTTCTTATATATGTAGAGTCAGGAAACACAAAATTGAAAGTCTTTTCTTTTGATTCATGTGAGAAAACAGGAGTGATTGGTGGTGGATTTGAATTATCTTACCAAGAACCAATTCTAGATAACATACCAGGAAAAGTAAACTTCAAATAAATTCAATACCTAAATTTCAATTTTAAAATGCTCTACTTTATATAAAATTCTAACAATGATATTTTCTCTTCTATCATTAAAGGGGGGGAAATGGTGTGCATGTGTGTTTGTGTCCATGTATTGGTATGTGGATATTCACCTGTGTCTATATGTTCTTGAATGAGAATGATTTCCTGCACAGTCTGGTACACAGTAGGCACTCACTATATGATATGTTAAGATTTTTTAAACAGATAATATCTATAGGAAAGATACATTTTTATAAAGAAGCTAAAAGTTAACTTATTCCCCATCAGAAAATAATTTAACCTTCTTTTTTTCACCCTCCAACATAATAAATTTAACATTAAATTTATTATACATTAAATTTAATAGACATCAAAACATGGACACTTACCTGTACCACAAGTGTGCTTCTCTCCTCACCTAAAACATCATCTTTTTCCTTCTCCTTCTTTCTGTTTTGGGATTTTTTAGATAAAGAAATATTTCTGGCATCTTTCTGTATTTTTAACTGTAGTTCCTGAGAGAACCTACATTTGTCAACAAAATAAAATTGTGTGAGACAGATAAATCAAGGGGAAAAATGGTTTTCAAGATATCTATTTTTAAAAATTGGGTATTAAACTAGATTGTGTTATTGAAAATGAGAAAAATTATGGCCTACATTAGCAGTTCTCAAAAGGTAGTTTGTATACCCCTGGGAATCACTAAGAACCGTTCAGGAGGTTCAAAAGGCCAAAGCTATTCTTAAAACGAAGATGACTTCCTTTTCATCCTGTTAATATTTGCGCTGATGAAAGCAACAGTGGCGCTCTCTCAAGAGAGAGAGAGAGAGAGAGAGAGAGAGAGAGAGAGAGAGAGTCGTATTTAAGGGTGTCCCTGATAAAGCAGTAAAAAAAGTATTAATTTTATTAAATCTAAATCCTTGAACATATGCCTTTTTCATATTCTGTGTGACAATATGGGAATATGCAAAAAGCACTTCTGCTGCAAACTGAAGCACAATGGTTATCTTAAGGAAAGCACGGAGTGATTGTGATACAAACTAAACTAGCCACCTGTTTCTTGGAACAGTTTTACTTGAAAGAAAGACTGACAGAAGAGCTACTGTTATTCAGAGGGGGTATTTAGCATACATTCTCTTTTAAAAAGTGAACCAAGGAGCTTGTCACTTCAAGGAAAACAATTGGTATTTGTGTCAATAAAATTCAAAATTTTATGCAAAATTAGAATTCTGTTAAATTTATATCCACTGCTGTGAGCTGAGCAAATTCCCAATATTTAAAGACTTTTCTGATGAGATAGAATGTGGCTTTTTGAATGTGGCATAATGAAATAGGTCAACATTTTAAAGATCTGTATAACAGCAAAACAATATTTTCCAAATGGCTAACGTGTGTTATTACAAAAGTATACATGGGTAAAGGACCTATTCAAAGTGTGAAATTTTAATGTAACCGGGTAAAAAAAAAAGCTCATTGATGTGGTTTCAGATTCCACAACCAACATTTAAGAACTACCACTGTCAGTGTTAGTATAGCATCAAAGTTTTTTTGCTCACTATATTTTTGCTTTCTCAGCTATACTAATTCCAGTAGCTCAAACAGCACAAGAGAACATGCCAACAGCTCTGGCACCCACACGTTTGGCACACCAAAGTCTCCATCACATCAGCAGTGTCAGCAGGGTCACAGGACTGGGTGTGGTATGAGTTTGGCAACAACAGGAAATGGCACCTTTGCAAATGCATCAGCACCCAAGGGGATGGCATCATACATCTGGTAGCAACATAGAAATCAGTGACCTGAGAGGTGCATGTTACCACAGGAAGACAGGAATAAAAGCAGGAAGTGACTGCTTTGTGAAAACCAAGAGCCCTAAGTGAGTGAATACAGGGGACCACTCCTACAAATTCCTTGGCTGCTAAGGATGAAGGGAGGTAGGGCGGTAAATCTATGAGATCCTATCAAAGTAGCTGGCTAGAGAAATACTGCCTGTTACTATTATGAAGACCTTATTTCAACTCTAGGCGGGGGTGACCTGGAAAACATGAGCCAGTACGATACCGTTCAGCAAATCCATCCATACGAAAGAAATCGTGGTGCAGGAGCTCAGCACAGAAGGGCCTTTTGTCTGGATCAATATGTAAGCATTTCTAGGGGGGAAAAAACAACCCATGTAGCTCTTTTTTTTTTTTAATCTAACCACATTGAAATGTCTAAACATAGAAAATACATCTTTATAGTCATGAATTTAAATATCTATGATAAATGATAAAGAATAAATCACAAATCTAGACAATGACCAAAGGTTGCTAATATCACAAAAAGAAAGACCACCAGACATTCTGATCAAGCTCTAGTTCTATGAATTTATAAAAAATACAAGACACAGAGGAACATATTAAACTATTCTATATGGGAAATCCTAAGGGACAAACAACCTAGTTTCTTCAACAAATAATTAGCAAGGTTTAAGCAGACAAAACAAAAAGAGATGAAGATGAGTTTGTAAATTAAGAATCTTAAAAAAAAAAAAAAAAAAGATAACTAGCCCAGTAATGTGGCTCAGTGGTTGAGCATTGAACCAGGAGGTCACGGTTCCTTTCCGGGTTACAGCACATGCCCACGTTTTGAGCTCAATACCCAGTAGAGGCCATGCAGGAGGCAGTCAATTGATGATTCTCTCTCATTACTGAGGTTTCTATTTCTCTCTCCATCTCCCTTCCTCTCTGAAATTCATAAAACATTTTTTAAAAAAGATGTAACCTCCTTCAAAAAAAAAAAAGTTAACTGATTGATATGTAGACTCTATGTGAATCCTAATTTAAACTATAAAAAAAAATTATGAGAAAGTCAATGAAAGTTTGAGCATTGATTCAATGTTTTATGATATTAAGGAATTATGGTGAAATTTTAAAAGTTAAAGCCCTTGCAGAATGGGAGGGAAAGGACCTGCTCTGTGCTTATTATTGTGCTAGATACTTTACACAGAAGATTCTATTGTAATGCAGGGCTTGTTGTGATTAATTGAAACCATTCAATGTTAGTAAAAATACAAGGGACTCAATAAGTAGCTTTAAATGAACAAGAAAAGTTCTACATATAATTAAGGTATTTTAAGTGAAAAAAATATAGTATCTTCAATTTGTTTCAAAATGCTCAAAAAAAAGGTGCTGAGGGTGTAGATAGATGATAAAGATTATCTAGAGGTTGTTAATTGTTGAAGCTAGATGACAAGTATGCAAGGTTACATTCTATTGCTGTTCTTTCTTTTTTGTTAAAAGTTTTTGTAATAAAATGTTTTAAAAGTTATATGATTTTATTATAAGGGCCATAAGTTAGACAATAATTTTATTTTTATTCCCTTTAAATCTCTTTATAGATTGATCATAAAGCAGGTTTCAATGAAAAATATTTGCATGTGTTAGAAGATTATATACAAAACTAGAGGCCCAGTCCACGAAACTTGGGGGAGGAGGGGCCTTAGCCTAGCCTGCATCCTCTCACAGTTTGGTAGACCTTGGGGGATGTCCGCCTGCCAGCTTAGGCCCGCTCCCACTGCCGCTGCTGCACTAGCCAGCCATGAGCCCAGTTTCTGGCTGAGCAGCACTCCCTCTGTGGGAGTGCACTGACCACCAGGAGTGTCTGCCCCCTGGTGGGCAGTACACATCATAGCAACCAGTCGTTCCACTGTTCAGTCAATTTGCATATTAATCTTTTATTATATAGGATTAGGAACATGTTATTCTAAGAACTTATTATAATTAGTTATAAACTCACTAAACTTCTTTTAAAAATATATTTTTATTGATTTCAGAGAGGAAAGGAGAGGGAGAGAGAGATAGAAACATCAGTGATGAGAGAGAATCATTGATCAGCTGCCTCCTGCACACTCCCTACTGGGGATCAAGCCCACAATCAGGGCATGTGCCCTTGACCAGAATGGAACCTGGGACCCTTCAGTCTACAGGTCAACACTCCATCCACTGAGCCAAACTGGCCAGGGCTCACTAAACGTTTTTAATGAGTTATATAGAAACCTAAAAAAAATAAAAATAAAAATAAATAACTTAGATAAATGTTATGTGATCCTGATGTTTTAGAGATACTTATTTAATCAATACTTTAGGACAATCCTAACTAAAAAGAATTGTTTTGAGCTAATAATTCCAAAATGTCCATGTTTAAAGACAATTTGATACATTGAGACTCTCCCTAATATCTACCTTAATCAAACACAAGGCAAAGGTGATGATGATTTGCAAATTAGCCTCAGCAAATCCAGTGGCTAAGCAAAAGCCCCTTTAACAATAAACAACAGATCACCTCTCGGCCTTTTGGCTCAGATCAAGTGCAGTATCTATTCTTATTGGTTTAACAATACACCGCAAATCATGATCCTATGTCCTATAATTTAATTAATTTTCCTGCTACTCTGCCTTTCTTTTTATTTTCTTATCCTATTTTTCTTTTCCACTTAAACAAGATTTACACTTTAAATGTTAAACATTAAAAACATCTCTATGCGGATGTTTTCACACTTAAAACAAGCTAGATAACACTAAATGATTTCTTAGGTGAAATTTTCAGGTCTTTATCTCTGAAGTCTTCCCCCCAAAACCCACACACACACTCCATATACACAAAATTGTTGACCTAAATGATCAACTAAACAAGAAAAAACATAAGAGAAAGCCAAGTCTCCGAAATATAAATTCCCTGTCAGAAAGTGAAAGAAAAAGTATGGTTACCTTTGCTAAATCGATCACAACTTCAGGGAGCTTGGGATAGCGTCTTTCAAGAGGTTCCATTTCCTTGATTTCAGGCAACCTTACTCCCGCAAATGCAGGGTTTTTATAAAACAGCTCCTGGTGCCTTGGAATGAGGTTACCTGGAGGTGAGGGCAGCACACAGCTCTGTCATTATACATCATGAGAGTAATAGCAGAGACAGGTGATGTGGAGTAGGGAAAAGAGTGGGACATGCTTATGGAGTTGGGCCTCTCGCTACAAAATCAACCGAAGACAGTGCTCTTAATGAAAGTTCATATGCCAGTAAACATAGAACTGAAGACATGAAGGAGCATAGGAAAAGGAGAGGCAAAGCATTTTATAATTTTTTAAAATATATTTTTATTGATTTCAAAGAGGAAGGGAGAGGGAGAGAGAGACTGAAACATCAAATATGAGAATCATTGATCTGCTCCCTCCTGCATGCTTCACACTGATAGGGAGCCCACAACCTGGGCATGTGCCCTGACCAGGAATCGAACCATGACCTCCTGGTTCATAGGTTGATGTTCAACCACTGAATCACTCCGGCTGGGCTATAATGGATAAATATAATTACCAGAACTTCATTTGTAACACCAAAAATCATAAAAGTGCCAACTAAAATAATAAAAATATGGTCAGAATCTAATCTAGATAAATCAGTCTTACCATTTAAGAATTTAACTTTTGGTCAACCGATTTTATAATTATGTTCAGGTCTGATTTTAATACTTTTATCTTTTTTATCAACTTCAGTACCTATCTGAGCATGAAATATATATATGAAACCATTATATTGTTTGTTGAATTTCTAACCTGGAAACTTAAAATCCAATAGTTAAATAGTCCCCAAGTATTTTACCATTTTTTCGATTTTCCAAGCTCTGTCTCCCAACAATGAAGTTAATATTCCAATAAATGTAAGAATACTGTGATGATCTAGCGTTGACATTCCATCCAAAGCACTAACAACAAAAGTCACATCTGCAACAAGATTAAACTACCTTGGAAGTTTCTGTATCTCTCAATTTGAAGGTGGGGATGAGGGTATAGTTATATTACACCAAATGCTTGTTGATCCATAGGTAATAAGCAATCATTTGCATCCTTTCTATGTGTGACTGAATGCAAAAGTGCAGAGAACACACACACACATACACACACACACACACACACACACACTCACACACACACATACACACACACACACTCACATTTATATATAAACATTTCCTATTTGCTTCCTACCTGTACAATCAATGCAAACAAACAAGCATAGGAGGAAGCCCCTGGAATTGAAAATGCAGATGTGTACTCTTACCTAAACACGTCATAATATGATATAGCTGATCAATATCAGAATCTCCAGGAAAGAGGGGCTCCCCCATGAGCATTTCGGTTACCAGACAACCAATGGCCCATATGTCAACAGCTCTGAAAGAAAAGCAGTGTGGTGTAAAACTGGGCCTCCTTACATGTTTACTGTGCCTGAATCTGCTCTGCATATTACTACTAAATATTCTAGGCATTGAGAATAGTAGTGGCAAGCTTTAAATCACCTATAAACTTAAAGTACTAATTCCCAATTTTATGTAAGTCGGATTTCCAAAAGCTTTGATCATGTGACGTAGAGGGAAAGGGCTTCTAAAAAGTAATAGTTATGTGTCCTTTACTCTGAAGATAAGGCTTCTGGGTTTTCATTTAGAACCTATTCATTTTTTGTTTGCACATAATTCTAGCAAGTTAATTAGTCTATCCCACCATACACTGAAAACTACCAGAAGGAGGTGGTCGTTAGGGACACATACAGTAACAAGAAGGAGAATTGAAAGCTAATAGAGAAAAAAAAATAGAAAAACTGTCTTTAAAATCAGTTGTAACAACTTAAAGAATATTCTGGCATTATTAGCATAAGGACAACTAACTTGAAATTTCTCAAGGTCATAGCTATATTATAAAATGACATAAAGGTTACAGTATGACAATAAAAGGAGAACTTAACATAATCAAGAAAATATTAAATGACATATACTCTGAAAACAGAAATTGTAGAAAATATTTTTTAAAGATTTCTATAAAAGCAGTAAAAGTTACAATCCCATCTTCTTTGAAGAATTCATTTATGGAAATAATTATATTTTTAAAACATTTCACCAAATTATTTCTACTCTGAGCCTTGTCCACTCACCTCATTCCAATAGTTTCAAACTTATCCAATCCATGTTACCTCTCTTTACAAGTGAAATATAGTATACCTATTTCTGAACCACTATATAAAAAAAAAGACTACTTGCTCACCTTGATTTCCCTATCTTTAAAATATTAGTATAGTAACCCCAAATTGTTTCACAAGAATACTTAAAGGGGAAGCACCAAAAATTACAAATCACTTTGTAAAGTCTCCTAAATTCAAAACTTCCTTCCAGTGTTAGAGGAATTTTTTTTATATTAGAAACACATTAGTGCCCCCCCCACACCACCACCACATGATGTCTTACTTGCCATACTTCACATCACCAACCAATAGTTCTGGAGCTCTGTACCATCGGGTTGCCACATAATCAGTATAAACCTCCCCAGGAGCTGCCAATGTCCGCGCAAATCCAAAATCACATAACTTGACAACGCCAGACTGGGAGACTAATATATTCTCTGGCTTGATATCTCTGTGTATGATCTAAGACAAAAAAAACAACAACACACAACAGAGAATGACATATATTGGCACATCAAGGTAAACAAATTAATTATGTTTTTAGTGCCTGCCATGTGCAGGGCACTGTTTTTGTCCCTATAATGAACAGAAATAAAAAGCATATGAAATTCTTCCTGGCTTTAAAGAACCTGAAATCTAGTTGGGAAAAAAATAACATTTATGCTAAAAATTTTATATAAATAATCAAAGATAC